GGTCGAACACTTTCTATAAACTGTCAAATTGTTGTGGGCGTATAAATTTAAACGGACCGTCAGGTGGTAATGGTTCGTTCTGGTTTAGTAACCGAAGAAATTGTGCCCAAGAACGTTTGTCTACTTCCCAAAATAAAAACTGTGTATCTCTTCGAGGAGTTATTTTTCAATCCTTTGAAATGAAAACTGTGGAGTTCATCTTGTCATATTCTAGTTTCAGATAGTACGTTCCGTTTAGTAAAGAGTCGTATTTTTCTGAAATTCCCAGTAGTATTTGTTTATTTGAGTTTGAAAGTCATTTAGAGTTTCTCAAGGTTTTCGTCTGAACGGAACTGTAAAGATTCTCATTTCATCAAATTTGTCTATTAGCCATCATACCTCTATACTGCCATTGAAAAATATACTGCGAACATAAAAGCGTTAGTTCTTTTTGAAAACAAAACTCTTCTAAATCCTATTGCCTTTGCAATCTGAAGGACTTTGAAGCGCAACGAATTGGATAGTCAAACCTGTAAGCACCGGATGAAATTTCTTCATCTGAAAGATTTCTACCGGCATTTGTGAAGATATAGTCTAACGGTTTTGTATCTGCTACTTTTGTTCTTTGTTTTTCAACCTGAAACATTTAATATATGTAAAAATATATTGTTTTAAAATTGTATGCCATTTCATGCAATGTTTTATTTCATGCAACGTTTTACTTCATGCAATGTTTTATTTCTGTGCCGTCTTCAAGTATACCCCAGTACTTACGCTTCGATATTACATGAACTTCGGAAAATACCTTATCTAGCTTAAAACAGCCCATCTTTTCACCGACCATTCCCATTTCAATGAGTTTGTTATAGCCTTCTCGTTCTTTCATGAGTGCATCGATGTTCTCATAGTATACCTTCACTTTCGATTTGACTTCGGAGAAGAATTTGTTGTAGTTGTCAAGGACTGCCTTTGCGAACTGAGGGTAAGACCAATGTTCGACAATAGGTTTTACTGTGGTTACTAAGCCACCTTGACCTTGAGTGATTCGTACTTCAAAACAAAGGGGGGAGAACTTTCAAACAAAGTTGTCGACCTTCTCATAATGTTTACTCTTCATCTCTTGAGGTTTTTTAATGGAATATCCCCATGTCGAATTCATAAGCAATTTGAGTGTCATTGCAAGTTTGGGGTTTTGAAGCTTTCCTAATTATCATACAGTTGTTGTATGACTTTTCCAAACTGTATAGGTTCTCCTGGAACTCACATTTCGTTTGGGATTCCAGGTCGGAATATATTGGACAAATCTCATGTATGCAGCGTTAAGGTCGACATAGTATATCTTTTCATCTGAGTCGAACTGTCGCAACCAATTGGTCCAGTTTGTGGAAAATTCAAGTGAGTCTCTTATCTTCTGAGGAAACTTCTCCTGTTATCTCATAAACATCGTCGAAGGCAACCTGTTTCATATAAAACCTTCTGACTAACTCCGATGCTCTCCAATACAATTTGACGTCAATTGGATGTCTCAATGGAAGTTTGTTATAGCATCTTGAAGTTCTTGCAACCTCATTGGAAGTTTCTTCTGGTTCAGGTTGGTATCGAACAATCCAACTCCTTTTGGAATTGTGTACTTCTTTTGTACTAGAACTTTGTCTGGAACAACTTTTGGTCTTGCTAACAATGAAAACGTTTGGAATGAAAAGTTTCTGTCAGCTTGTCATCTGGAATTGTTTCAACAAAACCTTTCTCGAAAAGAATGTTTACAGCTCTGACAATGTTGCACTTGCCTTTTCGAACAATGGGTTTGTAAGACTTTCGTTCAACGAAGTGGTTGTGGACAATTACAATCTTCAACCATGGTAATTTGAAGTCAACAACATAGTCGTCATGTGAAGAACCTTTAGCTGTAGGTATGTTAACTCGGATATTGACATTTGCCAACGGTGCAATTTTTGCCAATTGACCTCTGAGAATGTACCTTGTCTTCACACATGACTCAAGATACTTCATCTTCTCTTCTGTAACAAGACCAGAGTTCCTGAGACATGTAAGAATACAAGGTTCATTGACAATTGTTTCAATTGAATTGTAAATTCCATACCTTGTCAAGTCAATGTCAGACTTATTTATGAACGGGAAGTATCCAGCATGTTGTCTGACTGCTTGAGGGTTAGGTTGGTACCATTCGAACTTGACACTTGCAATTCCTTCAATTGCGTTCAAAATGTCTGAGTCGGAGTCAAACATTTGTTCTCTCTTTGTAGTCTTGAAAGCGTCAAGAAGTTGTGCGGCTGTTGTGACATTGCCATGTGCATAGTAAATGTGACCGTCCAAATCTGTTACGGTTAGTCTGAGATTGTATCCTTTCTTATTTCCGTCTTGTATGGCAGCAAGTACTCCCATGAAGCCTTCTTTGTTCTTTCCTTCGTCAAAGTTTACTGTAAAGGTTCGACCAGATGTAATTTGACTTCTAACTTCACGGTACTTTTCATATGCATATCTTGTTCTTTCCATGGGAGCATGTTTGTCTTCACCTTTTCCTTTTTTCCTTCTCAAAGGATGCAATTGTTCGTCATGTTTCCAATAGAATCTGGCAAAGCCGTCGTGTCCTTCAACTTGCGGTTCAGAAACATCGAAAGGCATGTCCATAAGACGTTCTTCTTCTAACCTCTCTAGTCTGTTTGGATAATTTGCGCGTGCTGTTTCCAATTCCATTTCGTAGCGAAGACCAGACAATTTGTCATAGACTTTTATGGGTCTTCCCTTCCTATATTTAAAATTCTTCGAAACTTTCCAACCATATCTTTCTAACTCTGCTTTTATTCTAGCAGACTTTCTATCCATTCTATGCGGGGGCATTTTTATAAAAATAAAAAAAATATTTTTTTCTTTACTTTACGTAACCACCAGCTACCAGAAGCCTTTGACGCCAACCCATACCAGCTAATGAAGGTTGACTAAACTTTGGTTTTGGTTTATCTTCAGTTTTTGGTTTTTCTTCTTCTATCGGTTTTTCGTCACTTTTCGGTTCCTCTGACTTTACCTCACTTGCAGGTATGGTTGTGTCGTTAACATCTTCATAAATATCATATGCCATTTGTTTTTGTTTTCCTTTCAACTTTTTGTGTTTGTTGTAAAGTTTAGAATATTTCGACTCTAAGTCAATGAGATGTTCTATAATGAACTGTTGGTCAGTGAAGTAAACTTTTCCATCTGTTGTCTCGAAAGCTCCTTCAGACTTCAATATTTTATTTGTGAGAGTCTGTTTCTTTTTTGAGATACTAGCCGTTCCATTTCTATGAAAAGTGACTTTGTAGTTAGGGTTTGTATTTCCAGACCTGGCACTTTCTATTATTGAATTTTTCTCTTCATCGGTAAGTTCTTTGACAGGTTTTGACAATGGTTCTGAACTTTTTGTTTGTGGTGTCAAATCTACGGTTTCAACTTCTTCGGTCATTTCATCTCAGTAAAAAATTTTAGTTTGGTTTGTTTTCAACTGGTTGTTGTTGTTTTTTAAGTCGGTCTAAAACTTCCTGAGGTATAGGAAGAACTTGACAAACACGTTGTGTAACTGCTGGAAGTCGACAAATCCATCTTGAACCCATTTGTCTCAATGCTGTATTGTTCATTTCATCTCAGTAAAAAAATTTACATTCCCCAAGTTTGAGGCGGTTGAGGTTGGTTATTGCTTACCCACTGTTGTGCATGGTTATATCCTCTGTTAAAGAATCTTTCACCTTGGTCCATATAGTGTCCTGCTTGGTTATAGTAGTCATTTGCTTTGTTATAATAGTTTCCTGCTTCTCTTCCTACATTGTCCATCCATCCTTGAACTTTTCCTCTTGTTTCAGGATTTGGAATAAGATTTGTTGCATCTCGTGCTACCTCCCAACCTTTCTGTACAGTTTGTATAATAGGTTGTGCTTTCTCTTTCAGTATACCTAATGTACTCAAAATCTTCCTTCCAATTCCAAACGCACCTCTGGCTATTGTTCCCACTGCGGGTAAAAATCTAGATGCAACTCCTGCTAATGCGCCAAATAAACCCATTTCTTATAGGATAAAAATGACGAATCCAAACAAGGACCCCTATGTTTCTAAAGCAACAAAGAAAGCACTCATGGTAAAAATCTTTAGTTCAACACCAAATGCTTGGTTTATGGATATCTTGGAAAACATTCCGAGGTATAGAGAAGATGGACCTCCATACTGGCTAATATTTGTCGGTCAAAACACAAGATACTGTGAAGCCATACCATTGCAGTCCAAAATATTTTAGATGTGAAAACTGCTTTGACAATATTCGTTGACAAATACCATCCAACAAAACTAACATCTGACTGTGAAAGTTCTTTCAAATCAGACGATATTAAAAACTATCTGCGTTCAAAAAATGTAAACCAATATTTCATTGTCGACCAAAACCATTCTGCTCTTGGTGTCATTGACAGTTGTATAAAAATCTTAAGAGACTTAAATCAACCACAAGGTGGTGAGGTAGATGAAATGTCATATGACGACAAATATAGACACTTCTCCATGGCAAAGATGAGACAAGTTTTAAATATTTACAATAGCCGTAAACAAAAAGGTTTGGGAAACCACTCCCCCGAAGAAATGAAAAACAACCCTGACTTAGAGAAAGACTATATATTTAATAGTTTAGTCAAAAGAGACAAACAAGAAAGAATGCCAGGCTTCAAACTTAAGAAAGGTGACAAAGTAAAAATAGAAATACCTAAACGCGACCCATATGAAAATACTATTGACTATGACAACAATGGGAACTCGACAGGTACTCACATTCGTGTTCGTAAAAATAGAAGAAAGTATACAAGAGAATATTATGAAGTTTTAGGCAAACATGGCAAAATGTACACACTGCAAGCAGAAGATAAAACTACTATTGTCAGACCTCGTTTCAAACTTGTCAAAGTTCAAGGTGGTATACTTTCAAAGACAGTTCCTAACAAATATAAGACAACTGCTGACGAATATGCTAAAGAAGTTGAAAATGACGACTAAGCAATTCTATACCATGCGTAAACTGTCATGTAAGGTGGCATGTATTCTTTACTTTGTCCCGTTGTTTGTGTATATCCTGAAACGCGATGTGTATGGTTTCCATCTCCCTGAGTGTCACTCCAGTAACAATTTATAGCAAACTGAACGTCGTCTTTAACATCATATCCTTTACCTTTTTTCAAGGCGTGCCAATCCCAAAATTTATGCTTATGCCAACCTGCTTGAGATGTACTTAAATCTATGTAGTGACTGTGTGCAGGTAAATTTTCACCTGAAATCGTTTTACTTCCACCTGTTTCCTTTGAAGAGTTTGCACAATACAAAAACCTGTCGACTATTTGAGTCCAAGTTCCGAGACCAAGTACTACTTCTGGTTTGGTAGAGTTCATTGACGTGTAAATAGAACCTATAGGATATAGTGTTTGAAGTATTTCTGTCTTTAACGTTTGAAGCTCTGTTTTGTCAGCTTTTTTATCTAACTCATCGTTAACATATGTTTTGTCAGCTTTGTTGTCATATAAATCTTGAGCAGTGAATTTAACTTTGTTTTCATCCTCCATGACATAGACATTTCTACATTTAATGTCTTTCATCGTTGTTATGTCATCCTCCGATGTTAAACCTTGTGGAAAGTTAGGAGGTTTCCAATTTAATACATCCCCACCAGTTCCATCAGGTTCTTCAACCGTTCCTGCAATATTTTCTATACCAACAGTTGCGAAGAAATCGTGTGTATGTCCAACGTCACTTTTCCTGTTTAAGGTTTCTTGTAAGTTTGTAATATTTGCAATGTTATATACGAAAACGATAAAAACGGTTTGACAGAAAAGTGACAACTTTACGTGTCAAAAATATAAAAAGTGATATTTTATTCATCATTATCTTCTTCATAATTTATTTCATATTCTTCGTCTTACCAACAAAAGATGGGAATGTGAACAATTGCGGGCAATTTTTAGCCATTTTGGCTTGGAACTAGAGCCTGCGAGGTACATGGATAGTATCAGTACCTCACAGGCTCTAGTTCTCTATATGGCGCCGAGAAATTTTGGTGAAATGTGGTCGCATTTCACCAAAATTTTTTCGGCGCCATAGGATGAATTGGAGGGTGAGAGATATTATTTCATACAATACTACTCTCACCCTCCAATTCCCAGCCAAAATGGCTAAAAATTGCCCGCAATGTGAACAATTGCGGGCAATTTTTAGCCATTTTGGCTTGGAACTAGAGCCTGCGAGGTACATGGATAGTATCAGTACCTCACAGGCTCTAGTTCTCTATATGGCGCCGAGAAATTTTGGTGAAATGTGGTCGCATTTCACCAAAATTTTTTCGGCGCCATAGGATGAATTGGAGGGTGAGAGATATTATTTCATACAATACTACTCTCACCCTCCAATTCCCAGCCAAAATGGCTAAAAATTGCCCGCAATGTGAACAATTGCGGGCAATTTTTAGCCATTTTGGCTTGGAACTAGAGCCTGCGAGGTACATGGATAGTATCAGTACCTCACAGGCTCTAGTTCTCTATATGGCGCGAGAAATTTTGGTGAAATGTGGTCGCATTTCACCAAAATTTTTTCGGCGCCATAGGATGAATTGGAGGGTGAGAGATATTATTTCATACAATACTACTCTCACCCTCAATTTTAATTACTTAAACTCATTCTATTTTTTTGACATGTAAATGTCACTTTTACTGAGATCTGACACAATGTCAGATCTCTTTTTTTCGTATATAAGAGCAATGGTATGTGTATGAGTCTTTTTAGAATATTCGTTTTCAGCTCTTGTCACTTCACTTGACATTTTATTGTCAACATATGTTTTGTCTGCTAGTTCAGGATGAGTATGTTCTTTCGTTGCATATGTTGCATCTGCTCTGTCATGTTCTTCTTGAACTTTTTCAATGACATACTCTTTGTCAGCTTTGTTGTTAACATCTGCTTTTGTTGCATATGTTGCATCTGCTCTGTCATGTTCTTCTTGAACTTTTTCAATGACATACTCTTTGTCAGCTTTGTTGTCAATATCTGCCTTCAAAAGAAGTTCATCTATAGGTTTCTCGTTTAAAGTTCTTTTTGTTGGATTTATACAAACAGTATGGTTCTTACTGTCTTGAAACAGAAACTCATCTGTCATTGGGTTTATCGTCAGTTTTAAGTTTCCTTCTTTCAATGACTCAGATATCTTAGAATAGTTTGAAAAGTTTGTTGTGTTCTTATTTAGAGCTTGCAAAATGAGTTGTCGGTTGTGTTGTATTTCTCTCATAGACGCTGTTTCTTTCGACATTTTATATTCTAGATAAAATATGCTTCCAATAGAAAAGAAAATTCAAGAGTTGCTACAACTAAACCATTAGATGAACTTTTTACGAATGTCGGTCAAAAGTTTGAGACAGAGACCGTAAAGCATGAAGGCTATCGTTTTGACTACCCACTAAGATGGTTAAGAGACCCATCTGTCACAAAAGCTATTGGCTTTCGTAGAATGAAGTTCATTTCAGAAGCCATACATGGTTTCCCATTTACAGTCGCTTTTGAAGTTCGATACTATAACAAAGAAAAACATACGTATGAGAAATTTGAACAGGGAAAACTTTTACAAGTGAATTTGCTTGTAAACTTAGAAACAACTCTTCAAGCTTTTCAAGAAAAAATAAACGATATCTATCTCGAATATGCAAACCAGTATAACATTGACGAGGGAGAGTACCATCTCGATATTATATATGACAGGAAAAATGCAACTGTTAAAATCAATAAAATAGAAGACCTTGGAGAAAACGTTTATATTTCTACAAAATATAAAACTTGGCATGGCATAGATTTTGAGGATGTTAAATCAGCCTGCATGGTATCCAGTACACCCGGACTATTATGAAGTCGAAAACCCTAATGGAACATATGAAAATGTTTTCGACCCAGATGCTATTATAGTTCATGCTTCATTTTCTGGTGCACAAAACTCTTTTTTATGCTTGGCAAATGACTTTTACGAAAAACCTACAAAGCTATATGAACCACCAAGTGGAAGTATTTCAGACTTTCAAGTATGGTTTACAAACAGATGGAAGAAAAGAATAATTCCATTATACCACGCGTTTTACTTAGAACTTAGTTTCATATACAACTACTATCGAACGGTAAAAATATAATTTTAATACGGTTGAGGTGTTGGATTTGGTTGCCAACTTGACTGTGGTGCAGGTTCAGGCTGTTGTATAACAGGAGCTTGCTCTTCTGGTTCAGGGTCTTTAGGTATAATACCAACGAACTGACCTACTCTTTTACCAATATTTTTGACACCGTTCCAAATTCCTCTTCCGACAGATTTTATTCCATTCCATATACCTCTTCCAACATTTCGAAAGAAGTTTCCTATTCTTCCAAAGAAACCCATTTTACTATATGTAAAAATCTAATGTCCGCCTAGTCTCTTACGTTTCCTGTTGAGTTCCATAGCATTCTTTAACTGGAGCTCATACATTCTGTTTCTCCTCTGGTAGAAAACATATTCTGGGTCAACTCCTGTGTTCGCGTCATCTGCATAAAGTTGTTTATATCCCACTTCAGGGTTTGTATAAAACTCTTTCCATCTCATATTTGCATACCATGGTGGCAAACCTAACGCAGCGTCATTTGACATGGCAGTTTGCATTTGTACATCTGTTGGCACTTGACCATAGTTTGCCATTGCAGTTTGTATTCTAACTTCATTTGGAATATTCTCTGGGTTTGGTTGTCCAGGTTGCTGTGCATTCGCTAAGTTCTGTGCGTCCATTTAATATTAGATAAAAATATCTCTTACGAGTACATATACTGAACATTTGCAGGCATTGGTTCATCTTCATATTCTCTATATCTTTCTGCCACGTCAAATAAGTAAATGACACAATGGAAAAACCTAAAACAAGTAGTCCTATTTCAAACCACATTTACTTACTAGTAAAATTTCTTTGTTATGACACTTTCTCCAGTTTATAGGACCTCTCTCATATTCTATCTTATCGTATCTAAACTCATAGTCATGTATATCCTCTAACCATCTCATGACACTTTCCAAACCACTTTTTATCGGATGTAAAGTAAAAGCATGGATGGTTATGTAAAACGTCTAAAGTTTCTAAAGAGTCTCTCAAAGTCCAGTCTACTTGGTATTGAAAATCCCATGTGTTATAGAACGGCGGGTCCACTATAAAGAAAACATTTTCCTTGTCTTTATATTTTTCATACAACTCTGTCCAATAACATCTCACAAACTCTATACCCTCAATATATTTTTCTATGTCCTCTTTGAAAACATTTGTATAGTTAAGATATAAAACTTTTGACATAAGTGTTTCAATGTCATGAACTCTTATAGCACCACTATATAATAGTCTAGCAGATATACTATCCCAGTCTATATATTCTGCTTTTTTCAAAACCTCTCTGACAATATCTTTCTTATCTAATGGTATACGTTCCATCTTACCTATAGGTATCTTTTCTTTCAACTCACTCAATATTTTGTTTGTGTCTGGTATATGTTTGAGACGGTCCATATAGTTGTCGAAGTCATTGCATATAATCTTTGAGTCAGGAAATACAGTATGGCACAAATGAGATATATAGAAACTTCCACCGAACAAATCTACAAATGTTAGACCATTCGGTAGTTTCTTAAGTTCTCTCAATATAATATCTTTACATTTACTCTTATTTCCAAAGAACGGTAACGGTGGTTTTGTAAAATTCATTTATATATAATAATAAAAATGTTTTTTCCTGAAAAGTGACAGAAAAGCGGTTTTTGACAGATGTTTTATTGTGACTTCTTCGTAAAGACTTTGTTGAGATTTCTTCGTAAATGAGTGTAAATGACCCAAAAATATATTTTAGGGTAGAAGGGTATATCTAACCTCTTTTCTAACCTCATTTCTACCCTCTTGAATTTTCATGAATTTCTTCGTAAAGACTTTGTTGAGACTTCTTCGTAAAGACTTTGTTAAGACTTCTTCGTAAAGACTTTGTTGAGACTTCTTCGTAAAGACTTTGTTGAGATTTCTTCGTAAAGACTTTGTTGAGATTTCTTCGTAAATGACCCTAGTAGTATATTTTTGGTGTAAATTTCATGAAAATTCAAGAGGGTAGAAAAGAGGTTAGAAAAGAGGTTAGATATACCCTTCTACCCTAAAATATATTTTTGGTGTAAATTTCATGAAAATTCAAGAGGGTAGAAAAGAGGTTAGAAAAGAGGTTAGATATACCCTTCTACCCTAAAATATATTTTTGGGTCATTTACACTCATGAACTTTCTTGTCTATGTTTTGTCAAGACTTCTTCGTAAAGACTTTGTCAAGACTTCTTCATAAAGACTTTGTTGAGACTTCTTCGTATATGTTTTGTCAAGACTTCTTCGTAAATGTTTTGTCAAGACTTCTTCGTAAAGACTTTGTCAAGACTTCTTCGTAAATGTTTTGTCAAGACTTCATTTATACTAAACATCTTCAGGGCTAGAAGGCACGAAGTGCCTGGAAGCCCCACTACCTTTTTTTTTTTTTTTTTTTTTTTTTTTTTTTTGCATTAGATTGGATACTGCCCAGGTAGTCCATTTTAGTTAACAGTGTAATATTCGCAATGTAAACAATATAAAACGAGATTTTGTTGTCACGTTTTTTGCCTGTTTAAAATTTATGAGTTCGTTCGAGTGGAAGCGCGCCTTTGGAAGGGACAGCGCTTTAATCCAGTCGGTCGAAAATAACGACGCATTAATGGATTTATTTAGCCAAATTGATGAAGAAATATCGAAAATGAACTCATATGATGCAAATCATATTACAGATATATCAATTTGTGTTGATAATCTCTCAGATAACCTCTCAAATCTGTGGGAAGACTCAGAACTTACAGAAATTGACCAGAAAACATTCGTCCGTATGACAATGTTGATGGATAAAGTCATTATCAACACAATTGATCGCATTTTCGATCAACTTGAAATAGTATCAATGAAAAAGGGCATCTTGAAGAAGATTAGATCGTTTGTTCAATCTTACATTCAATCAATAGAACGCGTTACATCGCCAAATACGCATACTTCTAAACCTTGGAATATGGATAAGTATACTCCAAAGCAGATGTATGCCCTTGATACATTAATTGCTAAATTCAAGGATGAAGTCGTAAGAATAATTAACGACCTTTCTGGGCTTTTAGACGCAGATGAGCAAGATGCATTACACTTCTCATCGATCGTTAACTCAGCATCTTCCTTAATACCTACGAAAATGCTAAGCATTCCCAATAGAATTTGGGAAGCCCAATACAAATTATTCGCTTCTCGTTTAGTACAAGCAGAAAAATGCGCAGCTTCGAAATTACATACGCAGTTGATGGACTCTGCGTCATCACCTGAGGTTATTCTTCAGATTTTTAAGGATCATTCCGCTTTATTAACAAGACCAAGCGCTATTCAAGAGCTTGGCCACGAATTTTCACAGGCATCAAACTATATTTCAACTCGCGCACAGAAAATACTTAACGATATTGGCAAGAAACGCTCAAATGATACTTCAGTCAATAATTTAATTTGGTATCAGCAAAAGAAAGTTATTATTCAAGGATATATGAAATTTGTTGGCAGTTTACCAGACTCTGGCAGCTTATCAACAGAGTTAAATACAATTAATGATGAACTTAAGAATTTCTCCCAAAATATGTGGAATTTATGGGTTAACCAGATCAAGACAAGGATTTCCTCTTCATTAAGAGTCCCAGAAGATGGAAGTCTCGTTGATTTTGGCGCTAATACTGGAGGAAATCTCGAAGTTAAGTTTACTGATGATCTTTTCCAATTCCTTCAGGAAGCAAATCAATTACAAGCTGTTAAAATCACATTACCACCTAAAATTTCCGAACTTGTTCAAAGAGCAGAACCATTATACAAACAAGCCCTCGTAATGCAGAGAGTTTCTATGTTCTACAATAACATGGCTGATAGAATCATCAAGTATCAGAGGCCAATGCTGCTCCAACCTGCAACTGAATTCGAAAAATTAGTTAAAAGTGTCAAATCCTTAAATTCTACATCAGCTCCTAAGATGCTTTCAGCTCTACAACTCTCGTTATCCAACATTATGTCTCAAAATTCACAAATTTCTGCAGAAAATACAACAATACAGAAAAAGATTAAAGAATTATTCGATGTAGACCTTATCGATAAGCGCCATAAATGGACACAATCAGTACAAGAGATGAGACAGATCGTTAAATCATGCGTAGAAAAAGGTTTCCAAAATTCTCAGTTTTGGACATTACATCTTGACTCACAAATCTACAAAGCTCTTAGATACCAATTCAGATCTTCGCTTCTTTCTATTTCAGAGCGAACAGCTCAGATTGATGTATCTTTAATATTTGCTGACGGAAGAACACAGTTTAGACCAACAATCCAAGAGGTCAGAAGGATGTACTACCAGAATGTCAGCGATATTTTTGCTTTTCCAAGGACATTCAAAGGTATCTCAAATGATTCCTCATTTTTCGCTCCAATTTCTGCTCAAGCCTCCGATGTTATCCTCTACGTATATGAAAAAGGCGAAACAAACATCCGTAAGTTCATCGAACACCAAAATTCTTTCAAAGAATGGGAAGTTTTGGCCCAAAACATGGATGAAGCCCAAAAGCGCTGCGAGACAATCATAGAGCTTGCAAGTGATTGGAAATCCAACATCAATTTAATCCCAACAAGAAAAGAATCCATCAACAAAATTGAGGATACAACCGTTATCGGCTGTTTCAAAATTGATAACACACAGGCCAAAGAAGGATTCAGGCGTCTTGTTTCCCAGTTCCAGAGCACCTTATTTGTTGCGTTAAGAAAGACATTACGTGATGAATTTGAGCGTGTTGAAGCCTTCGTAAAAGATGGAATGTCATTAGTTACAGGCAACTTTGATACAGCGGAAGCCATTGCAGAATCTCGTTCGAAATTCACAGAACTCGCGAGAAACAAAGTTGACACTGAAATGACATTTACAAGTCTTGAAGAAAAGGTCAATTTGTTGAAGATGAGAGAATCAATTGACGAAGAAACAACAGAGTTCAACAAATTGAGACAACAATGGAAAGAACTGACAGAAAAGATGGAATCATTCGATGCAAACGTTGCTTCTCAATTCGAGAACGTTAAGAACAAGATGAGAGATGAATTTGCACAGTTAAAGATTGAGATCCACAACTTCAAATTGAGATGGGATGAAATGAAACCACACAATGTCGATATGGATGATGACTCTGTTGTTGTTTCTATCCCACAAACTCTTAAGCAGTTCAATGAACAAGCACAGCAACTTCACGAGAAATATGATAAACTCGCGAAACCTTTGGCTGATTTCGATGAAAACGTTCAAATAGAAGAACTCGAGGAATTCGATAAGGAATTCAAGCAGCAAGAACAAGCCATTGATTTGCTCATTGAATGGAGAGATACTTATACAGAAATCGCTTCTCAAAAGTGGTCTGAAGCTTCTGCAAAACTCTTCCATGTCGAAGATTTCTTGAACCAATGGTCCCAGAAAATCACTCAATTGGAATATACTTCTGATGCTGCACTTTACATCGATGAAAAAGTGAAGCATTACAAGTCTATTTACCCATTCCTTAAATACGCAAGAGGTGATGACTGGACTGACCAACACTGGGCAGTTTTCTTCAGAATGGTCTCTCTTCCTCCGAACCAAACAGCTCAAGATTTGTTGTTAGGAGACATAATCGAAGTTGGTGACCAAATTCAATCGAATATCAAACAAATTAAGGAACTCGCTGAACGCGCAAGAGGCGAAAACACAATCAGAACATCTCTTGAAGAAGTCAGATCTTGGTTCTCAACAACAAACTTCCAATGGTTCGAACATACTTTCGCTCAAAGAACGACATTTATCGTTCAAGGATGGAAACAAATTTTGTCAGATTTGGCAGATAAACAGTCATTGATTGGTTCTTTGAAGGATTCACAGTACGTCAAAGCATTCCAGTCAGATGTTGACTTATGGGATAAGAAGTCTGTTGCTTTGTCAACATCATTAAGACTGTTGAATGAAATCCAAAGAAGATGGCTCCATTTAGAACCAGTTTTCGTAAAGAAAGCTCTTCCAGAACACCAAGATTCCTTTGAAGTCGTTGATAAAGAGTTCAGAGATATCATGAGAAGACTCAAAGATGCAAATAGAGCTGCTGCAGCTGCCGATCTCAATCCAGATCAACTTGAAAAGATCTTACAGAAATTAGATGCATTGAACAGAGTCTTAAATGTCTTCTTGGAACATAAAAGAGACAACTTTTCAAGATTCTATTTCATTGGTGATGAAGATCTTCTTGAAATCATCGGCCAAGCATCAGAAGATGCAATAATCATCCAAGCACATCTTAAGAAACTCTTCCAAGGTGTTCATTCCGTTGTTTTTGATGGTTCAAACACAAAAATCATCGCTGTTTGCTCTTCCTTAGGCGAAAGAGTTGATTTGAAGAATCCAATCATTTGCCAAGGCCCTGTTGAAGAATGGCTGATGACATTATCAAATGAAGTATCAGACACTCTCAAAGCAATTTTGACTGAAATGATCAAGACAAAGCCAAATAAAGATTACTTCAAATATCCATCACAACTCACTTTACTTTACCATCAAATCAGATTCACTGCGATGGTTGAAAAAGTCAAAGATGTTGATAAATTATCTAAATACGTCGAAGACACTTTGATGGATTTAGTTTCTTGCGACACACAAGATGAATTACAGAGATACACTGCAAGATCATTAATCATCGAATTTGTCAGATTCAGACAAGTTGTTGATGATTTGAGAAACCCAGGAATGTGGAACTGGAAGAAACAGTTAAGGTTCTACTTCAGGAGTGGAATTTGCTACGCAGAAATGGGTGATAGCGTCATTCCTTACGGTTACGAATACCAAGGAAATCCACAACGTTTGGTTTACACAAATCTGACAGCCAAATGTTATTTGACACTTTGCGAAGGTATTTCATTAGGTTACGGTGGCAATCCATACGGTCCAGCAGGTACAGGAAAGACAGAATCAGTTAAAGCTCTCGGCCAAGCACTCGGAAGACAAGTTCTCGTTTTCAATTGCGACGAAGCAATTGATGTCCAATCAATGTGCAGAATTTTCACAGGCTTAGTCATGGGAGGTGCCTGGGGTTGTTTCGATGAATTCAACCGTCTCGATGAAGAAGTTCTTTCCGCTCTTTCACAACAGATCCAAGTCATTCAGACAGCCATTCTCAACAAAGCATCAAATGTCGAATTGCTCGGCAGAAACATCAATGTCAATCCAAATGCCGGTATTTATGTCACATTGAACCCAGCAGGAAAAGGTTACGGAGGCCGTTCCAAGTTACCTTCAAACTTAACTGCTTTGTTCAGAGCTGTAGCTATGTCCGCACCAGATAACGAACTTATCGCTGAAGTCCTTATGTATTCACAAGGATTCAAGTGCGCAAGAGCTCTTTCCAAACAAATTGTTTTGGTTTTCGCTCTCTGCAAACAATTGTTGTCTCCAGAAATCCACTACGATTGGGGTCTTCGTTCCCTTAAATCCATCTTAAGTACTGCAGAACAGTGGATGAACAACATGGACGGAGATGTCGATGAACCAGCATTGTTAGTTAAGGCATTGAGAGTTTCCACATTGTCTAAATTAACATTTGCAGACAGAGTTGCTTTTGAACAGATTATTTCCGATGTTTTCCCGAATGTTCAAATCAACAAAGTCGAAGAATTCGAGTTGAGAACAGCTGCAAGCGAAGTCATCAAAGAGATGAAGATTGTCGAGTTACCACACCAAGTTGACAAGATGCTTCAGATGTGGGAATCAATCAACCAAAGAACTGGAGTCGTTTTAACAGGTCCAAGTGGTTGTGGAAAGACAACATTATGGACTTTGTTACAAAAGACATTGGATAAAATCGGTGTCAAAGTCGATATCGAAGTTATGAATCCAAAGTCAATGCCAAGACAGAGATTGTTAGGCAGAGTCGATTACGATACTCGTGAATGGTTTGATGGTGTATTAACAAGAGCAGCAAGAAGAGCTGTTGCATCATCAAACAGAACATGGATTGTTTGCGATGGTGATATCGACCCAGAATGGATTGAATCATTAAACTCAGTTCTCGATGATAACAGGTTGTTGACATTACCAAATGGTGAACGTATCCAATTCGATTCTAAAGTCAATTTCGTGTTCGAATCACATTCCCTTGAACACGCTTCTCCAGCTACAGTTTCAAGAATGGCTGTTATTTTGTTGGCTCCTGAAGATTTGACTGTTGAAAATGTTTGCACGGCTTGGGTCAACAAATGGCCAAAAGATTCAAGAGTTCCTTATCTCATGGAGCAGTTGTTCTACAGAACAATTGATGCTCTCGTAAAGAAATCGAACTCTTTCGTCATCGGATCAACAACATTTGGTTTGACAACAACCGTTTTGTCACATCTCAATTTGATTTCAGGAAATTCTGATTCTGAGTTCATCAACGCCCTTATTAGAGGTTCTGTCTGCATTTTACCACCACAAGAACAACCAGCATTCGCAGCAGATATCTATAAATGGGCAAATCAATTGGGATTGAGTACAACAGGTATTGATCCAGCAAACATTTTAGATCAATACTGGAATGGCTCAACATTACAGTTATTCGATTTCCATCCTGCTCCACCAACAGTTCCTGCCATCGATTCATCCAGTTTGCCATTAGTTTCAACAACAGAAGTACAAAGAACTATCCACACAATAAAGAACTGGATCGAAACAGGACAGCCAATGATGTTGGTCGGACCAAGAGGAAGTGGAAAGACAACGGTTTTGACACATCTTTTCAAGTTGTTGCCATCAACAACAACCATTGTTTTGAACTGTTCCGCACAAACAGATGCAGCAAGTTTGATGACAAAATTGATGCAGCAATGTACAATTGCATCAACAGCTTCTGGACAAGTTTTAAGACCAAGAAACACAGAGAAAGCTTTAGTTTTCTTCAAGAATTTCGATTTGCCAAGACCAGATAAATGGGGAACAGTTCAATTAGTTTCATTCATGCAACAGATCTTAACACATGGAGGTTTCTACAACGAAGAACTCCAGTGGATCACATTGGAAAGAATCCAATTTGTCTTCTCAATGTCATCTGCGGAAAAGAGACCAATTTCACCTCGTTTCACATCAATCATCAGAATTGCAGCGATGCACAACACAGAAGCATCACAATTACAGGTCATTTATTCCCATTATCTCACAGAAATTCTCAAGAAGACAGACTACAACGATAACTCCAAAGTCCAAGCAGTTGCTGCTGCAATGGTCAGAGTTTTTCAGAAGTTCTCAACTGGATTTTCAATTGATGAATATCCACATTACGATTTCACTTACAGAGACATCACACGATGGGTTGTCCAGCTTCAAAGATACATCCACAACTCGAATACTTTCACTCCAAACATCATAATCTATGAAGGTATCAAACACTTCGCAAATAGATTGTCTAGTTTGAGTGACAGAACAAGAATGATCAAAGAAATCAAACAGATCTTTAGAGACAATCTACCAATATTCGAAGAAACAGATTTCGAGTATTGCAACTATCAAATCGATACAAATGACAAAGCTCCTTTGTATCTAGTTCAAATGGAAAGACAAACAGCTCAAGAAGCTTTCCAGAAATTGATTGTTTCTTACGAAAGAGAAATGGGTCATTTGGACATCTTCAGAATGCAAGACACAGAATGGCTTGCCAATGTTTTAACAGCAACAATCGCTATGCCATCATCAAACATTGTTGCAATCACCGTTCCTGGTTTGTTCTTCACAGAAATATTAAGAGTTATTTGCCATTCTAATGGTATCGAAATCTATTCACCACCAATGCTCGCTGACTTTTCTAATGCTACATTTATGGCATTCCTTAAAGATTTGATACCAAAAGTTACAGGAAAAGATGAAGAAGTTGTTTTGTTGATGGAAGATTTCATGTTTGTTGATAACGCAATTTTGGATGCATTGAATTCTTTGATGGCTTCAGGAGAAGTCGGTGGTTTATTCTCACAGACAGAATTCGATTCATTGGTTGCTTCTATTCAAGGAGAACTTAGAGAATCGAACACAAACATGACACCACAAGAATTCTATTGCGCCAAAGTAAGAAGATTGATTCATGTTGTTATTGTTCTTAATCCAGAACATTCAGCATTCAGATCTTTCTTCAATTTCGCACCATCATTTGTTTCCGATGCATCAATCATTTGGGCAACAGAATTATCTCAACAATCATTGATGACAATTCCACGCCAAATCTTGTTGCAAGAAGGAGATTCAGCATTGAATTCAGACAATTTGACCAAGTTGAATCCAATGTTTGCTTCAACATTCCAAGCTGTCAAAGAAGCACCAATCAAATACAGCGAATTCCTCAGACTTTACTTGAATTTGTTCAACAAGAAACAGAAGGAATTGGCTGAGAAGAAAGGCAGATTGGACATTGGTTTGGCCAAACTCAACGAGGCAGCTAAAACTGTCGATACTTTGTCCGGCGAAATTCAGGCGAAGAAGACTGTTTTGTCAGGCAAAGAGAAAGATGCAAACGACGCAATGGAAAGAATCAAGAAGGCTGTCGCTGAATGCTCTTCTCAACAAACAAAGATCGAAAAGATGCAGGGAACATTGAGTGAAGAAGAGAAATTCCTTCAGTCAGAACAAACAAAGATCGAAGCAGAACTCGGAACAATTCAGCCAGAAATCGATGCAGCTCTTGAAGCCGTAGGAAAGATCAGAAGAGAACATCTTGCTGAAGTCAGAGCTCTCGCTAAACCACCACAAGCCATCAGCGAAGTTATGTCTGGTGTTTTGATGATGCTAGGTGAAAATGAGTTGTCATGGGCATCAATCAAGAAGATCATGGGTTCTGATAACTTCACAAACAGAATCATGAAGTTCGATGCAAAATCATTGACACCAGAAATCATCAACAACGTTGCAAGGCACTTGAAACAGAAAGGAATGTTCTTTGAAGACGCAACAATTAGAAAAGCTTCACAAGCCGTCGCTCCTTTGGCACAATGGGTTAAAGCAAACGTTAGATTCTTCTCTGTTTTGGAGAAGGTTGAACCTCTCAGACAGAAGAATGAACAATACGCTTCCGAAATCCAGAAGAAGAGGTTAACTCTCAAAGAATTACAAGACAAGAAAGCTAAAGTCGACAAACAAGTTGCAGAATTCCAAGAACAATTCAGAATCACAACGAAAGAAGCTCAGCAACTTAAGAATGAAGTATCTCTGGCAGAACAGAATCTTCATGACGCTGAGCAGCTCTTCTCCAAGCTCAAAGACGAAAGAACAAGATGGGACACACAGAGAAACCAAATTTCTGCAATGTTGACTTCCCTTCCTAAAGAAGTTTTACTTGCAGCCGCTGTTGGAACATTCTGCGGACCATTCCCAGAAGATGAGAGAAAGAAGATGGTCTCATTATGGTTACCAATCGCCAAACAAGCTCCAGATGCAACATTCAACATGGGCAAGTTCATGTACACAGAAAGCGAATTGATGGCATTGAGAGGCTCTTTGTCAGGTGATGCTCTTTCTCTTGAAAACGCTGTTATCATCACAAATGCTGTAACAGTTCCATTAATCATTGATCCAACGAACAAAGCATTAGATTGGCTTGTAAACAACATCCAGAAGAACGGCGGACAGCCAACAGTTCTTCCTCGTGGACATGAAAGATTTGCAAGTGAATTAGCTTTGGCTGTGAGATTCGGAAAAACATTGATCATCACAGAAATCGATTCCATCGATGCAATTTTGATTCCTTTGATCAGAAAAGACCTTATTTTCAGCGGATCAAGACCAGCCATCAAAGTTGGTGATCGTGAAATCGATTACAACGAGAAGTTCACTTTGTACTTGTTGACTCGTGAGCCACAACCACAGTTACATCCAACAGCTGCTGCTCACGTCGCAGTTGTCAACTTCTCTGTCACAAGAGCTGGCTTAGAATCAACATTGTTGAGTCTCACATTGGAAAGAGAGCAGCCAGAGATCCAAGCAGAAAGATCTAAGTACATTGCGAACGAAGAAGAGATGAAGGCAACATTGTCTGACTTAGAAGTCACATTGTTGAAGACATTGGTCGAAGCAGACAGTGGAAACATCCTTCAGAACACTTCTTTGATTGAAACACTCAACAAGACTAAAGAACAAGCAGCTGCTGTTGCAGAATCCCTTGAAAAGATCGAGTCATTGTCAAAGAAATTGGAAGAAAAGGCAAATACTTACAGATCATTGGCACAACTCGGTGCTTCTTTGTTCTTCGCAATTGATGGATTAAGTAAATTGGATCACATGTACAGATTCTCTTCCACTCTCTTCATGACTTTGTTCACATCAATCTTCGATGCAAAAGTCAATGCAAATGGTGTTCATAGAACACTTAAATTCGAATCAGAACTCGTCAGAATTATCTTCAGACACGTTTCTAATTCGATGTTCAATAAATACAGAACAGCCGCAGCATTGCACATCGTTGCTTCCTGCTACAAGAACTTGGTTGATGCAACACAATACCAGTTCTTAATCAATTCCCCTGTTTCTACTGGAGATGCTCCTTCTTGGGTTCCAGAAACAAGAAGACAGGCTTTCTGTGGATTCGCTAAAGCAATGCCAGAATTAGTTCAGACATTGAAGATGAGAGATCCAACAGCTGGCGATGTTTGGGCAGATTGGCTCAAACAAAGCCATCCAGAAGAAAACTTGCCAATCATTGACGGACAACAAGTTTCTAAACGTGGCTTGACTCCTTTCGCTCAATTATTAATTGTAGGAATGTTAGTTCCACATAGATTAGTTGCAGCAATACAAGCTTTCGTTACAGAAGCTCTTGGTTTAGGCCAATTCTCTGTTCCATTTGAATACAACCAAATTGTCAGCGACAAGACAGGATTACCAATGATTTTCATCACTTCTCCTGGTGCTGATCCATCTCATGAAGTTGTTTCTGTTGCAAAGAGAGCCAATGTTTCATTGACGGAAGTTGCTGTCGGCTCTGATACACCAGATGCAACAGTTGCCAAACTGAAGAAATGCGCGGAAGAAGGAACATGGTTCATGTTAAAGAACACTCATCTTTCTATTTCTTTAGTCGCAAGACTTGAGAAAGAAATCGCTTCTCTCCAGACGAAGAAGGAAGGATTCAGAGTATTCTTCACAACAGAACCCCACAGATCATTCCCACCTTTGTTGCTTGCAAACTCAATCAAAGTTGCTGTTGAAGCTCCTCCAGGTGTCAAAGCAAATCTCACAAGAACAATTGCACAAATTGACACTAAATCAATGCAGCCACAACAGTTGAAACTTGCTGCCGCTGTTGCTTATTTCCACTCAATCATCCAGGAAAGAAGAACTTACATTCCACAAGGCTGGACAAAGTTCTACGAGTTCTCAACAGCAGATTTCAGTTGCGCAATGCAGATCATCCAGAAGACAAAGGAAGCTGATGCAGAGGCACTTGAATACATCAGAGGTTTGCTTTGTTTGGCTGTTTACGGTGGCCGCGTTGACAATGATTTCGATTTCAACGTTTTGTCATTGTATTTGCAAGAGTTCTTGAATGACAAGAAGAACCCACTCAGATTAGATAACAACGCACAAATGAGCAACGTAATGAAATACGTCGAGAGGATGACAGAAAGAGATGATCCATCATTGTTCATGTTACCTCCAAACGCAACTAAAACAGTTGCAATTTCACAAATGAACGAAACAATTACATCTCTCAGAAGATTGTCATCAATTGTCTCTGACTCAGGAAGTATCAGCAGAGCACAATGGATTGACAAATTCACTCCTCTTCTCCAGAGATGGCAAGATTTGCGCCGCAAATATCCAAACATGACTGTTCAACGCCAGAACTCTCCATTTGATGACACTCCGATGGCAGCAGCTCTTTATTCACAGTGCTGCGTCATCCATCAATTGGTTGACGATCTTGAGGAGTACTTCAAGATGGTCGATGGTTTCTTGAACCATGGAGACACTTTGTCTCATCAGTTGCAGTCATTAGGACGTTCTTTGATCGCAGGAGAAGTTCCTGACGCGTGGTCTGATATCGCAGAAGGACCTTCTGTTGCATCGGAATGGCTTCAAGAAGTTGCAAGAAAGGTCGAATACATCGATGCTCTTGCAGCTGATCCTTCAATGGTAAGCAAAGGAATTGAGTTGGGAGCTGTTTTGAGACCAACAGCTCTTTTAGATGCACTCAGACAACAAACAGCAAGAGAAACCGGAACTCCAATGGTTGATTTGAAGCTCACTTTCTCTTTCTCTGAATCTAAAGAGAGAGCGATTTATGTAACAGATCTCGCTTTGCAAGGCGCTGTTTTCCAGGGACTGAAGATAGCGCCAATGACAAAGGACGAACAAGTTCTCGTCAAGTGCTCAAAGTGCTCATTCTCGTGGGAGAAAGAGCGCAAGAATGATGGCATCGCAATGATTCCACTCTACTCGAATTCAAACAGAGAAAAGTTCATTGTTACTGTTCCTGCTCCATGCAGCGAAATCACATCAAAGGATGCTTCCAAGGTATTCTCATTCGCAGGTACTGCTTTCATTATTGGAAGTAATTAATTTTATTATTTTTTATATGAATATTTGAAATAAAAACTTTTATAATATTAAAACTTCAATATATACAAATCTCTGCTCAAATTCTTTCACTTTTGCCAATTTTGTATTCTTTGTGATAAATAATTTTTGTAAGGATCTCTGTACTTTCTCCGTAATCAAGTTTTCATTTGAGCTTAAGTAATAAATGAGTTCGAATTCATGTGCTATTGAAGTATAATGTAATCATGACTCTTTTATAAAAATCTTTCGAGATTATTTTGAGTTTTTTTATTCAAAGAATAATATCATGCATTATATTTCTAGCAGATAGCCCACATATGAGGACACTTTTATTTTGCATTTTTAGTTCTTACTATTTAAGGCTTACATTTATTTTTTCATGTAATCACTGTTTCTCTATATTTAATTTCTTATAGGCAGAATCAGAAATGTCATTGGTAATATTAGAAGCAAAATAAAATATGACTTATATTCTATCGTCTTCTGTTTGGAAAGAGATTAAAAATACTATACAACTCACTGCTTATTTTATCTTTTGGATCTATGAAACAATTTTTTGTGTAAAAGTGAGAAAAAGTATTAAAATCCGAATTTTCATTTAAATGAGTAATTAATACAGTTCCTAAAGTTGCTGAGTTTAATTCAACATAAGAATCGAAAATAACCAAATTAGAACCTTCTTTATTTTGTTGAAACATGTACTTTGCACTGTTATTCAAAAATATACAATGATCAACATTAGTTAAGTAACTACAAGAAAATAGAACTTGGTTAATTTCTTTTCCGCAGTTATTTTTAATCACATTGCAATAAGAAATTTTTTGAGTTAAGGCAGCATCGTTACTATTAAATAAAAATGATTGCGTCGATGATTGACTGTTTTCTCTGAATATTGAGAAATTGTATTTAGTTGGATTTCCTTGAGCGATACTTAAAATTGATGAACACTGAAAACATTTGTTGTTCGTGGTATTGATATTCGAAATACATATATCACCCCATGCAAGATAAAATGTAGAACTTCCTCTGTTTTCGCTTTCTCCGCAGTTTGAAACAGAAACAAAAAATGCGTAGTTTTTCTTATAAGGATTAATCCATTGTAGAAATGCTGCATAACTGCTTGCTTTTGATTTATAATAACATGTTCTTTGTTGAACAAATTGCCCTGCTGTGCTACAGCTATAACTAACAGAGCCAGCATAGGTAGTGGAGCTACATTTTCTAAATACCGAATCTTCAATTAATGTGCATATTTCATTATATCTCATGATATTAATAGCTCCATTTTCTATGCATGACTCAAATAAACAATTAAAAAAGTAGTAATTGTCAGAACCGGTCGAAGCAGAGAATGCTCCTATATTTGATGTCTTATCAACTTTGTTTTTATCGCCAAAATAATCCGACCAACTAGATTTTGTTTCTGATTTAGTTCCCGGTATCAATTTCTATATCTCTTGATGCGTCAATGAAAATAAATCGACTTGTCTTGCTGCAAATAATACTACTATTGACAATACAACACTTTTAAAATTTGTGATGGGTTGCGATCACTTGTCACTTTTAAAAATTTGATCGTGAGAACAATACTAAAGTACTGAATATTTCAGATTCATTGAGAAAAACACTTAAGGCTTAACCGTATCTAAGCCGTTTTGACAACTTCTCAATTATATGTTTAAGGCTAACTATATTTAAATGATTCTTCATTTATTTATCTTTCTTTTGAATTTTTTTCCTTTGAAAATGTTGTAAGGGAATTCCTCTGAATTTTAAAAGTTTTACAACACTAGATGAGAGCATAAAATGGGTTCTTTCTAATTGTCAATACAAAGTTGGTTGCCTATAGTGTGAGATAATATACTTAGAAGAATTTATTATTATTAAAATTAATAATATTTTTGCAATTTGCTTATCATTAATTTTGTTTTACAAATGATCACCTTATAAAGAATTGTGACATCTTGTTGGCAATGCTATACATAACATTAATTTTTTTAGTAATGCGATAACGTTAAATAACATTATTTTTTTTAGAAAATGATTTTCAATTTGATGGCAACTATGGTTAATGAAATTTCATCAATTTTACACATATTTATCTCGTGCATAATATCACATTTTTTTTTAACTTTATTTATTTCAAAATTTTGTCAAAATATATCGGAAAGGATTTCGTTTAAAATTTATGCTTTATGTTAAATGATGAATAAAAAGGATTGACGAATCGATAAATATGAGCTCGACTTCACATTAACTGACTCTCAAATGCAAATGCTTGAAGAACGTGATAGATTCTACTCATTTTATGATTACTCTGTCTTCTTTGGAGTTGAGATTCTTGGTCTCGGCACCAACAAGTGGGGCCAGTAAAATTTTCAATCATCTGATATCAAATAATATTTTTTATAACTCCTGTGATTTTTCATACAAAAATTTGAATAATAAGTTAACAGCGAATTTCACATAAAATATATGAGAATACTCTACAATCTTTTGCATAACTCTTAATGAAACACTTACGCCCATCTGACTTGAATTCAAATTTTTGACAACTGGCGTGAGGAGTTATTGAAATTTAACCTTAATCGATTGAATTGAAGGCCATGTCATAGGGGTGTAAGTGCATCCTTAAAAAATTATAGTAATAATGAATCAAGAAATAATGTAGATCTATGCTAAAATAGTGCCGCTTCATTCAAGTTCTGCCAATTGGATCTTGTTTATCAAGTTTATTTTTGATGCATTATGAGTGAAGAGCATTGTATTTCAATAGTATATTGCGGATGCTGTCATAAATCAAGTAAAAACTGAGTCCAACTCGTTATAAAATCAGACTGCGTTTAAATAAGTTGATGAGCTTTATAATTTATATTAAACAATTTACGCAATATACAATTTTTTTATTTCGAAATCAAAATTTAATATATATATAAAACAAAAAACAAAAAAATAATAAAATTTAAACTTTTGTTGTGAATCTTGCACCGAGATAAATAGCATCTTTCTGCATAGCGTTCTCCACAGCGTATTTATCATTCGTATGCGATCTAACCAATATATCGAAAATTAATCCTTTCTGACCAGATTCAGAATTCATTTTTCCGACCAATTCCTGAGGACTTGCCTTCAAATAGTCCAAACAAAGTCTAGATCTCCACGCCCACTCCACGTACTGCTTTGCTGTCACTCCGAAATCATCCCTCATTGGCTCAAACAACGATGCCAACAAGTCCTGTATGAAATTCATAATTACAACAACTCTTTTGTGTTTAATTGGTTCTCCAGCCAACAGAATATTCATCAGTCCTGCGTCCATTCCTCTGAAGAAAGCAGAAAGCATCGGAATCATGTTCTCTTTATTCACGTGATTTGTTAATTGGTCAGCTCTGATTTTGATGAAATCAGTGCATTTATTGAACAAATCATTGAAGAAAGAAGAACTTCTGCTATCAAATTCTGGATGCAACACTTTCTTCGATGCTTTCTTCACAAAGATCTTCTTGAATGACGAATTGTCAACCCATAATCGCGTTGAAACATAGTCGTAAACTTCGTGTTCTATCAACGCTGAAAACAAGGGAGGAATGACAGCCATGATGGAACTGACGTAAGGAACAGGATCAACAAATTGGTCGGGAATTGGAGAGGCTCCGACCAAAGGACGGACATTGTGGAGAAATTCAGACCATTGGACCTTGATTTGGCTGAAATCGTTGATCATGACATACATCTGCTGTGGAGTGGCCGCAGAAATGTTGTGCATCGTGTCTAATTGCTTCATCGCAGAAATAACATAGAGATTATCAGTTGTATTGATGATAATATCGCGTGGGAAGTACTTAACTATACGGAAAGTGAGGAGTTCTGTGTATAACTTAAGACAACAGACACATGTCGAAATATAAGTGAAAATAATATCGACAATGTTCTTGTTTTTCCACTTTAGAGAGTTCACGAATGAGAATGATTGGGAAAACATCGTCATCAGGTCTCCAATTGACGTTGAAGTCATCAATCTTGGATTTGTTACTTCAAATGTGTCGACTTCGACAGTTTTTTGCGTCCAATCGATAAGTCTGGTCGATATGGACGTGATCCACTCCAAAACAATGTCGAAGAAGAGTTTGAATGGGGAATAATCAGGTCCTAACTTCAAATACTCCCAAACTTCTCTGTAAGCGAACACAAACTTGAACAAGACCTTGTCATTAAGTTCTATGGGTATTTTGAGGAACGCATTCAACAGATAAATTGTTATCTGCGAAAACAGCTCTGTATCTCCTGTAATCGTCTTGAAATCGACAGGAACAACATTAGTTTCGTAATATGATTTCGCTAGTTTGGAACGCTGCGAAACTATGGACATTGAATCTGCCAATGAAGTTACAGTGAACGTAAAGTGCTGGTAATCATTGTGTGCTGATGGGTTGATGCTCCTGATGTATTCCCAGAGGATGTTGGCCTCTTGCGTTGTAGGTTTTTCGGATAATACTGGTTTGACGTTGAAAAGCATTGATTTGACGAAGAACGACTTGGCCTCCTTCAAGAACTTGTCAATCAAAGCTCTTACGTCACCTTCTACAATCAATCCGGTCAATGTCAACAGTGGCATTAAAGAAGATCTTTCGTATTTCACTGGATTCTTCAATCTGTTGTATAATTCCAGTGGAACTTTCTTCTGCATGTCCTTAACAATGTTTTCAAACGCATCTTTTGTTGTTTCCGGTGTTTGATTCAGTTCACAACAATTTCTAGCGACCATAAACAAAGCTGTGAACGCATTCAAGTAGCTTTCGGCCTCGCACCATCCTTCGTATAGCTTAGAAAGTATAGAAACAAATACAACAGAAGATGGAATCGAATGTCTGAAAGCGAAATCAATAATTGCAATGAAAAAGTCTTGTGGAGGGACCAGAGGCATCCTTCCTGTTGTTCTTGTCCAGTCAATGACAAGTTTTGTGGTTAAATAATCTAAAATTACACTTAAATCGAGATTATCACTGGAAAGTTGAGGCTGAGTAACAGGAATTATGTCAGACTTCTTGATTTGAATGATAGAATTCATGTCTCCGCATGTAGAAGTGACAACTCCGCCTAATTTCTTAAATTTCTCAGAAATTACGGTATCTTTCTCAATATCTGTGATTTCAAAGTAGTGAATAAGCTTAGATGTCTCTTCATCTGCCATCTGGAAAGGTAAATCTGGGTTCTTTTCTGAGATATATAATATTCTTCCTTCAATCTTTTGATTTTTATCGAAATAAGGTAATACAAACTCTGCGTAGTTCGATGCTAAGCTCATTGTCGTTGTATATCCTAAGTAAGACAATTCTAAAAACGCGGTACGAGTTAAATGAGTATTTTGGTACTTTGGCTCCCATTTAATGTTGATCTGGACATGCATGTTACCTACAGGTGGCTTTTTGGCCATCATTTCGCCGACTTTTTGAGATAATGCAAGTAAATTTTGTTGTGCGTCTTTAAACGTCTCTTTCGTACCTTTAAACGAGTTAATCCATGTTTTCTCGTATGTATTCGCTTGTTGATGCAAATAAGTGTTGAACATCAAATAATTCGTCGTATGACCGATTTTTGTTCTTAATTCATCAAGCATTTCATCGGTTGCACCTGTTTCTTTGATGACGTAAGCACGGACTTCATCAGAAAGGAACTTTGTTCCCCTACCAAGATATGAAGTAACTGAACACTCAGCAATTGCATCATCTACGATGTCGGTAATAAATTTTTTGTCTTCTACTTGCAAACTATTAGTAATATTGTAGATTTCTCGATAAACATTTGAATATGTGATTTTTGATGCCAAAGTTTTAACGTTTGAGAATACTTTGACAATGAATTCAGATAGTATGGGCTGTTCGAACTGTAATGCTGGTAAAAGAGTTCCGGGAGATTCAAAGATTGAACGTAAAAATTTAAATAACGCAAAAGGACTCATTACATCTTCAGTAAGGAGCTTCAGATTAGGACTTCTTGCGTATTTTGAGAAATAAGACATTAGTGTTGGTATATCTTGGCTAATTGCGGCAAAATCTTCTGCAAATTCAGCTCCGTAAGGCGTTAAAGCGCCAGTTTCAGAGTCAAATAGCGTTGCACATAATGGAACTGCCATATCATGGACTAGGACTTCATAATCCAGTGGAGTTAATGTTTTTAATTCTGTATGAATATGTGTTTTGCCTATTTCAAGAGCTTTTTCTTCAGTAATTTGCTGTTCATCATTGGCACCTTCAACAATCTCGTTGGCCATATCAATAAGCTCTTGAAACATGTTATTCTCCATTTTTCTGATATGAAATCGGGAAAAATCGCAAGTTTTTGTAAAATGAAACCATTCAATATAGGAAAAGGTTGGGTCTCGACTTTTTGGTATCGTTCTTCAAGCATGACTGAAAATGGACTGGAATAGGGGAAAGAAAGTGACAATCCAGCACCGGTGAGCTTTCGAAAGTTATAAATGAAAATCAAATTTTCTTAAGCATAAAAATACATTGTCAGATGTAATGGACATCCAATTGAAATGATTTATACGAAGGATTTTCGTAATCTTTTGAGGTATATTTAAAAATTATTATTCATCTCAAAAGGCTTGAACTGCAGGAATATACAATTCATGTTATCAAATCATCATAATGAGATAATATATGATCAGCATATTCAACTGCAAGATGTTCCTATCCTTCTCTTTGAATCTTCAATTGGTTGCAGATTTTGTGGACACTTCTCCATACTCATTTGGTGTGGTGATGGTACTAACTCTCATGACGTAAGGACTTGTTTGTTGTTATGAAGACCTTCTTGAGTAAGAAGTAGATAAAGAGGTGGGAGATGCCTTCCTTAGGGGTGGAACGGGACATTGAGTATATGATTTCAGAATTTAGATTATCTATGACGGATTACGGTTTGAAATATATCATCAACAATAATAATCACATCAAATAGTAAAAATAATGCATCATAGATTTGCTCACTCATGTCTTGGAGGGTATTTAATCAAATTATTTAAATATTATGAATTTCCACAAGGCAATTTCCAAAATATTAATTGCAAATGAGATTTTACTCAAATTAAACACATTAAATTCCTCAACAATTGATTGCTTCAAAATTGAAAGTCAAATGCTCTTTTATTTGCATTGAAAGAGAACAAAAAATAATTAAAATTAATTTTTAAATATGCAGTATCTATATGGCCTTGTAAGCATTGAGCCGACCTTCAATATGTTTATAAAGCATATTATAAACCTGAGTAATTTGTTCGCCGGTAAGTGGGTGATAATCTGGTATAATAATTCTCGCATCTGTATTTGGAACTAAATCTCCTGGTCTAGCAAACTTAGCTGGTTGAAGCAATCCATCTGCACCTACAAAACGACAATTAATTGTATAAATACCGTTCACCTTTGTAACTTTAAATACGGTAGCTGAAAGAGCTACATGTCTTGCAACCATTTTTAAGCTAAAATCAATCCTATAGAAAACTTGCTTTGATAACGATGCATACTTTGCACGTTTAAAATAGTCAACAATTTTGTCTCTTTCGATAAAAAGATCAGAAGATATCTGATTTACAATAGAAAAGAGATCAGTTGTTGTATAGTCTTTTTCAATAGTTCCACTATCTACATTAAAAATAGAAACTGGAAGTTGATATATACTGGGATCACATGTTAAAAATGAAAAGTCTGTTGGCAGAGTATTTTTCTCAAGACACCTGGAAAGAGAGAATAGGATTAGAAACATTCAATTTGATGTCAAATGACAGACAAATCTGTCAAAGAGAAGATTTGGCATAAAAATTAGGATAGAAAACGCATTTAATACTAAACAATTTTTATAACATTCTATATTTATTACTTTCAAAATTTGAAATATTTTTTTCTCTAATTTTTCCCCTCCATTTTCTGATATGAAATCGGGAAAAATCACAAGTTTTTGTAAAATGAAACCATTCAATATCCCCACTTTTATGATGCTTTTATACCACTGTATGACATTCCTATTCCCACTTTGAAGAATTTTGTATTGGTTCCCGCATTTGTGAACACCTCTACATACTCATTTGACATGCTTAGTCTCGCCCTTCTTGAACGAGAAGAAATACTCTGCAAAGTACACGAGGAGAGAGAGATCACCTATTTTGGGAGTGATGGGATATCCAGTTAGTATCTAGTAATTCGGTACCAAGGGTCTACGCCCCTCGGAACCAAAATTACTAGAATTTACAAAAACCATTTGACAAGTAAAATACATTTGACATTTACAAAAAATAAAAAAAATAATTTTTTAAAAAATAAACTTAAAAATTAACGTTAAAATTTTTGACACTTTACAAAATAAAAAAATAATTTTTTAAAAATAAACTTAAAAATAAATTAACTTAAAAATTTTTTAAATTTATTTTTTAATTCTGTATATACCAAATTTTATCATAAATGCTAAATTAATTTTAGAGAAAAAAAAAAAAGGTATTGTGGCCTCCAGGCACTTCGTGCCCTCTAGCCCCGAAGATGTTTAGTATGCAATGAAGTATAAAATGAGGTTTTTTTTGGGTTGTGGGGGCTTCCCAGGCACTTCGTGCCTTCTAGCCCTTAAAATTTTTGAAAGTCGTTGCTGTTGACTTTTTGGTAGAGGACTCAAAATAGTAGAACTATGTCCGGACAAGTAAGGGTCTATCGTCGCTTCTCAAAGTTACGGGCGTTCAAAGAAATATACTTTGAGAAGCCTTTTCTTCCTTATAGAATGAGATAGGATGGTTATTTTACAAAACCGACAAGACCTTAACCGAGTAGTTTTCATGTTTTGTCACTTCTCTGTCACTTTTCAGGGAAAAAACATTTTTATTAAATATAAAATGAATTTTACAAAACCACCGTTACCCTTCTTTGGAAATAAGAGTAGATGTAAAGATATTCTATTGAGAGAACTTAAGAAACTACCGAATGGTCTAACATTTGTAGATTTGTTCGGTGGAAGTTTCTATATATCTCATTTGTGCCATACTGTATTCCCAAACTCAAAGATTATATGCAATGACTTCGACAACTATATGAACCGTCTCAAACATATACCAGACACTAACAAAATATTGAAAGAGTTAAAAGAAAAGATACCTATAGGTAAGATGGAACGTATACCATTAGATAAGAAAAATACTGTCAGAGAGGTTTTGAAAAAAGCAGAGTATATTGACTGGGATAGTATATCTTCTAGACTATTGTATAGTGGTTCTATAAGAGTTCATGACATTGAAACACTTATGTCAAACGTTTTATATCTTAACTATACAAAGGTTTTCAAAGAGAACATAGAAAAATATACTGAGGGTATAGAGTTTGTGAGATGTCGTTGGACAGAGTTGTATGAAAAATATAAAAACAAGGAAAATGTTTTCTTTATAGTAGACCCGCCGTTCTATAACACATATGATTTTCAATACCAAGTAGACTGGACTTTGAGAGACTCTTTAGAAACTTTAGACGTTTTACATAACCATCCATGCTTTTACTTTACATCCGATAAAAGTGGTTTGGAAAGTGTCATGAGATGGTTAGAGGACATACATGACTATGAGTTTAGATATGACAAGATAGAATATGAGAGAGGTCCTATAAACCGGAAAAAGTGTCACAACAAAGAAATTTTATTGGTAAGTAAATGTGGTTTGAAATAGGACTACTTGTTTTAGGTTTTTTCCATTGTGTCATTTACTTATTTGACGTGGCAGAAAGATATAGAGAATATGAAGATGAACCACTGCCTGCAAATGTTCAGCATATGTACTCGTAAGAGATATTTTTATCTAATATTAAATGGACGCACAGAACTTAGCGAATGCACAGCAACCTGGACAACCAAACCCAGAGAATATTCCAAATGAAGTTAGAATACAAACTGCAATGGCAAACTATGGTCAAGTGCCAACAGATGTACAAATGCAAACTGCCATGTCAAATGACGCTGCGTTAGGCTTACCACCATGGTATGCAAATATGAGATGGAAAGAGTTTTATACAAACCCTGAAGTGGGATATAAACAACTCTATGCAGATGACGCGAACACAGGAGTTGACCCAGAGTATGTTTTCTACCAGAGGAGAAATAGAATGTATGAGCTCCAGTTAAAGAATGCTATGGAACTCAGAAGGAAACGTAAGAGACTAGGTGGACATTAGATTTTTACATATAGTAAAATGGGTTTCTTTGGAAGAATAGGAAACTTCTTTCGAAATGTTGGAAGAGGTATATGGAATGGAATAAAATCTGTCGGAAGAGGAATTTGGAACGGAGTCAAAAATATTGGTAAAAGAGTAGGTCAGTTCGTTGGTATTATACCTAAAGACCCTGAACCAGAAGAACAAGCTCCTGTTATACAACAGCCTGAACCTGCACCACAGTCTAGTTGGCAACCAAATCCAACACCTCAACCGTATTAAAAATTATATTTTTACCGTTCGATAGTAGTTGTATATGAGACTAAGTTCTAAGTAAAACGCATGGTATAATGGAACTATTCTCTTTCTTCCATCTGTAGTAAACCATACTTGAAAGTCTGAAATACTTCCACTCGGTGGTTCATATAGCTTTGTAGGTTTTTCGTAAAAGTCATTTGCCAAGCATAAAAAAGAGTTTTGTGCACCAGAAAATGAAGCATGAACTATAATAGCATCTGAGTCGAAAACATTTTCATATGTTCCATTAGGGTTTTCGACTTCATAAAAGTTCGGGTGTACTGGATATTCTGCAGGCTGATTTAACATCCTCAAAAATCTATACCATGCCAAGTTGTTATATTTTGTAGAAATATAAACGTCTTCTCCAAGGTCTTCTATTTTATTGATTTTAACAGTTGCATTTTTCCTGTCATATATAATATCGAGATGGTACTCTCCTTCGTCAATGTTGTACTGTTTTGCATATTCGAGATAGATATCGTTTATTTTTTCTTGAAAAGCTTGAAGAGTTGTTTCTAAGTTTACAAGCAAACTAACTTGTAAAAGTTTTCCCTGTTCAAATTTCTCATACGTACGTTTTTCTTTGTTATAGTATCGAACTTCAAAACCGACCGTAAATGGGAAACCATGTATGGCTTCTGAAATGAACTTCATTCTACGAAAGCCAATAGCTTTTGTGACAGATGGGTCTCTTAACCATCTTAGTGGGTAGTCAAAACGATAGCCTTCATGCTTTACGGTCTCTGTCTCAAACTTTTGACCGACATTCGTAAAAAGTTCATCTAATGGTTTAGTTGTAGCAACTCTTGAATTTTCTTTTTCTATTGAAAGCATATTTTATCTAGAATAAAAATGTCAAATGAAACAGCGTCTATGAGAGAAATACAACACAACCGACAACTCATTATACAAGCTCTAAATAAGAACACAACAAACTTTTCAAACTATTCTAAGATATCTGAGTCATTGAAAGAAGGAAACTTAAAACTGACATTAAACCCTTTAACAGACGAGTTTCTGTTTCAAGACAACAAGAACCATACTGTTTGTATAAATCCAACAAAAAGAACTTTAAACGAGAAACCTATAGATGAACTTCTTTTGAAAGCAGATATTGACAACAAAGCTGACAAAGAGTATGTCATTGAAAAAGTTCAAGAAGAACATGACAGAGCAGATGCAACATATGCAACGAAAGAGGATGTTGAAAAGAAAGCTGACAAAACATATGTTGACGATGAGTTAGCATATGTGGCTAGTGCGTTAGTGAAGAAGGCAGATAAGGAATATGTGGATGAAAAAGACAATGAAATTATAGAAAGGGTTGAATGGTACCATGAACGGACATCGAAGATTTTAAAAACTAAAGCCGATACAGGGTGGGTTTCAGGATGTTTAGACCTTAAAGCGGATAAGAACCATACACATACCATTGCAAATATTACAAACTTACAAGAAACCTTAAACAGGAAAAGTGACGTTGGACATACACATACCATTGCAAATATTACAAACTTACAAGAAACCTTAAACAGGAAAAGTGACGTTGGACATACACATAACTTCTTCTCAACTGTTGGTATAGAAAGTATTTTAGGAACGATTGAAGAAACTGGTGGGGGTGGATTATATTTTAAACCTCCTAACTTTCCAGAAGGTTTAACATCGGATAAAGACATTAGATGTAGAAATGTCTATGTCATGGAGGATGAAAACAAAGTTAAATTCACTGCTCAAGATTTATATGATAAAAAAGCTGACAAAACAGAGCTTCAAACATTAAAGACAGAAATACTTCAAACAGTATATCCTATAGGTTCTATATATACGTCAATGAACTCTACCAGACCAGAAGTAGTACTTGGTTTTGGAACTTGGACTCAAATAGTCGACAGGTTTTTGTATTGTGCAAACTCTTCAAAGGAAACAGGTGGAAGTAAAACGATTTCAGGTGCAAATTTACCTGCGCACAGTCACTACATAGATTTAAGTACAACT